TTTCTATAAATTCTACTCAAAGTTTGATTAAATAAATAATTATTTACTGTCGTTGTATGTACAGTCATAAAAAAATGCCAAAACTATGTACTAGAATATTAGAAATTTTCAAAATTACTTATGACTGAGAAAAACAGGTCGAATTTTAGAAATCTTAATTCCCTGTAATTATAATTTTTTCTAAAAATTCATTACGACACAGCTTTTTATTAAACGTGTTAAACTTTTTGCAGAGATTTTACGGCTCATACAACCTTAATAGAAATACTGTTGCTCGCTAAGCTCGACGTACGTACGCTACCTTTACGGTATTACGACGAACACAATAATAATCAGACAGTACAATTGACGATAATTCTGAATGAATTAAGAGGAAAATTATAAATTGATTTCACCCGAATTTGCAGAAATTCGAATCAAATCAGAGAGGAGACCGGCTCCACTGATTTGATTCACCGTAATTTGCATAGAACGACTCGGATCGAATTCGAATCGTTAATTATATTCTTTCTAATTCGATTCCTTTCAATGGAACAGTAAACCGAGGTAAACCTTGCATACTTACTCCATCACTAACCACATTTAATTTCTCACAGTTACACCGCTCGGACATAGATATTTATATAAAAACATCGATACCACAAATTTTCAAACAATCTGACACNGAGGAATTATCTCGGAGTGGGCTTATGTAACAGGAACCTCTTCGCAGGAGCCAACTATGAGATAATTCGTGCACAGATATAATTAAGTAATGAAGAGATGAGATAACTCGTAGTAGGCGTCCTGGGCAAGTAAATAATCTACGAGATATCTTGTAGTTGGCAGTCAATGTGTTAAGTCATGTCTGAGGCTAGTACTCTATTTAGAGATGAGGCACGTTGTTTCTGGCTCGTCGATCGAGATAATAATTGTATATATGTGGTATATGTCTAAATAATTACTTAGAGGTGTGCGAGAACCTAATGTTCGGGACGGGTCGGGAAGGCGTCGGGTTGGGATCTCTAATTCTTTCAGACAAATTCCAAATAATCAATAAAAATGGAGAAACATTATTTGTACTAACAAATGATTATTACAAATAACATGCAATCAGATAAGGTAATATTTCATTTTCAAAATTATCTTTTAACTAATTTAGTTGAATAATGCTTAAGCTTCATGTAAAGTTATAGAAGTTGGAAAATGAGCGAATAATATATCAAATAAATTATGTTTCCAATCTCTATAACTGTACATTAATAAGTTAAATGAGTTAAAGAGGAAAATAAATTTTATGTGATTTTCAAAAACGCTTGAATTATGAATTATCGCGATGAATTTTAATAATAATATTGTTGAGATTTCGAGGAATCGCGAATATTTTTAGGAAGTTGGTCTTCAGGAATTGCGCGATTTTCGAGAACCTCTTCTGGGAAAAATCTCGTTGCAAACCGACATTTTTCGGTTCTGACACATCTCTACTGAATATCTAAATACGTCGCCATTAGCAAATCTGAGGTCTCTGCGATATTTTATTTTCAATTATTGGTTCAATTTTTTTTCAATTCGTTCTTCTTATTAAAATTTTCTTCACGGTTATATAAATACATCTGATCATAAAATCGCTGCTGTGGCATTGAAACGATTGATCTGTTTGATAGCTGAACGGATTTAGCAGTTTTATAGAGAAATAAACGACAGACGATATTAATTGACCCCAAATTTGTCGTAAAGTCGCGTATACGTGCCCCTCTAAGGTGCGTAATTCGCGCGTAAATTGTTCGTTGAAGTACGAGTCTACGTGCCGTTAAAAAACATTCGCATTTTATAAGCACAAGTGCATTCGCGATCGGCCTACGTATGTATGTTCTCGTGCAAAAGGAGTCGAGCCTTCGACACGGCGAGACCGAAGAGTTGTACCACTAATTGTTGCAATAATCAACAAATATTGTTCGATCAACGAGGAAACGATAAAATAATTTTCACAGAACTCCGATCGGCCTCTTTGTCGAGTCTCGCGAGTAAAAAAAGGAAAACGGTGCCGCCGGTTTGTCTCTTTAATTATTTTCTTCGATCGAAGAAAAAGAAGAAGAAAAAGAAGTAATCTTTTATTAAACGTTGCAAAAAATGCCACAATTTTTATTCACTGCCGTATTTTTTTTACACGATAAACGTTCACGAATTCGTTCGACGGCACCGAGAAAATCTAAATTCGAAAATGTGAACGAATCGAAAATCCTGAATCGAGTTGGGCATCGTTTAAAAAAATTTTTATGAATAACAAGCCTCGTCACGTCCTTCTAATCCTGATCGATAATAACAATCATTAATTTATCATTTGGAAATTCAATTAGAATCGTTAGATTATTTATCTGAAAC